TATATATATATATATATATATATATATATATATATATATATATATATATATATATATATATATATATATATATATATATATATATATATATATATATATATATATAAAAGGAATTTTTGAAGCTATTTTTCGTTATTTTTCCGTGTTATCGATATGCCTTGCCGTACCAACACACGATATGTTGGTATGCCTTGATATGTATTGTAACAATGGCTGATTGATACACCACGGTAAGGCAAACTTTGACATAACATACAGTATTTTATTTTGAAACAGGACATCTTGAGGTTAAATAACTCCATGCTGTAGCACAGTAACTAGAGATTTCATCAAATGCCCTTGTTGAGAGCCTGCAGACGTGATATTAAGCAAAATAACCATCAGCATCCTAATAAATAGAGGAAAAGAAAAGGAGCTGTTAACATAATGAAAATAATCAAAACCATAAACATAATACAAGGAACAACAAAAAAATCACGAACAATTTATGCTTTTTGCTTCACACATTGCTTTCTACCGCTTTGTTCAAATGAAGTCTTGCCATTCCCTAAATTGTTTTTGATGAGAAGTATAATGATTGATGAAGTTACAACTGGAGTGCTCTTTAGAACTTCAGATCAATAATTTCCAAAAGACCTTATAGTTTCTTATCATCAAAATTTGAGGTTGTTTATTTTCTAGTAATTGCAAGCACAATAGCATGTAGGAAATGTTGTGGGAACAAATGTTGAACTACCTTGTAACTTTTGTTTGCATTTTAAGATCTATTAATGAGGCATGTGGATATGCTAATGCATAGGAATTGCATGAACAAATATGGAAAATAATAACATGAAGCAGTGAGGTGGGTGGTGGATAGAAACAACCAAGGCATGCAGAAATCTTGTTGGTTTTTCACATAAAAACTCTCTCTTTTACAGACATCGTACCTTATGTCAATATTGTAATTCTTTTACTGTAATTATTTGGTGCTGCATAATGACAAAAACTTGGTATACTTGTGGATTAAAGTAACAACAAAGGTATGTACTTATGAAGAAAATAATGGCTTTTTCCCCCTTAGGGGGTTGTATTTCTTGTTTTTTATTTTCTTTCTAAGATGATTTTGGAGCTCTTATTTTTCTAAGAACATGCAAACTCCTCAACATTTGAAAATAATGGTAATAGGTTTCGAATCAACTGAACAAAATCTTAGGTTTGCTCATTCTAAAGCTTAAATGTCACAGGTTTGCATCCATTCAGTTGACTCAATTTTAAATACGATTTTCGCAGTGGGAAAACCTAAAAGGGGATACATTAGCCGATGTTAGATTGAAATGAGCCAGGATTTTTGTGCAATCTACCATGGAATTGGAAAATCCAAACTTTGCTGAATTTGCAAATCACTGATACTTACAAGGCTCTCTTCTAAATCCTTTGTTCTTTCACATAGACAAGCTTGATTTAATGGTATTTGACCTACGCTGACAGTAGGTCAACATAGAAAATTAAACTGACCATATAGCAGAAGAATTTTGCACCCCTGCCTGAGCAATTTTTATTTGTAGAACTTTGTGGAGCTGGATCATGTGGGTTTGTAATAAGATTCTCGTATCAACTTCGATAAAGCTCTAGGAATGTCTAACGGTTTTGAAATCTCATGATTTGTTTACATTGGAAATCCAGGCATGCATTTGCATCAAGATGCTGTTCAATGGTGAACATGATGAGTTCTAACTGGAATCAATAGCTATGTTACTTTCTCAATGATGTGTTTTTGAAGTTCATAAGAACATGTATGAAATTCCTAGGGTACCTGTTTAGCATGTTATAAGTACCCATAACATGTGTCTTTGAAATTAGTTTTTATGACCTTAGATAGGGATTCCAAAGACATCTCATTAATTCTCCATGTGTTACTAGTGGGACCTGTTCTTTGTATCTTGTATATACCTTTCTTGATTTTGAATCTTTTTCATATTTTGCAGGAAGGCTCACGGCTTAAAGTAGACTATGAGGTATCTTGGGACAGAGATGGCTATTTCCGGAGCGTAAATCAGAAGCCTTATAGAAGTTACAGACAGGAAAGGGATAGTTCAACCCAGGTTATGGCAGGAAATATAAGAAATGAACCCAGTAAAAATCAGCCCCACATCACATTTGATTCTAATGGTTCGCGGCGCAAACGATTCAGGGTATATTTCCTTTAATCTTATAACCGAGCATGAACTTATATTGACTATTCTTTGTCTGAACATTCGTTAAAAGTTGTGAAGAAAGCTACACACTAATGGTACATATCTATAGCAAGCTTCAATCTTGGAAATTAGTGGATAATATTTAAATTGACAGAGCAAGATATTTATTGCTTAGGTTGTAGTTCTGCTTTAGTTAGCTATTCTCTGTTGTACAAGCTGTACTTCTAAGGAATGTGAAACATGCTTTAGGGTTTGGAATGATTAGGCTTACTTTTCATATATGTACCATTTCTTTTTTCATTGTTCTACATGTGTCTGGACTGATACTTGTGTCAAACTTTTCATTCGATAGGTTCCTCCTCCACATCATTTTGGTTTTATGTATCTAAATGTGCAGGAATGAGGGACCACGCCAATCTTGGAACCAAGCTGGTCCTCCAGATACAGAGGCCTGAGAGGACAATACAGGAACTGCAAACTCGCAGCTGCAGCTATGTTGTATTTTGTTCAGACTTGCACATGTTTTGAATTAATTTTAATTTTAGGACCAACAGAATATTCATCTGAAAGTAATGTGTTTCAGCTTCTTCTTCTTTCACTATATTCAGCAATGGCCAAAAGCATTTTAAGATTCAAATTTGGTGTTAGAAAGCTTTAATTGTGAAGCATATATTAGAACAGATTGATGGCTTCTGAAGGCTATAGTATTAGAACCACTGGAGTGACTAACTTGACGAAATGGTCAACGAAAATTAATTAAGATTAACGTTGTATACTAACATCATATTCCTTAATGTATAAGATTGATCCATCACCTTTGAAATATATAATTCAGATGTTGATGTGTAGGATGATCGATCACTTCCCAATCCTCAGGTGTTACGATTAACATCATTCTTCACCTGCCTTGCTTGATATCGGATTGACGACAATAATGACATGTCCATCAATCTTACTTTAACATGATATAGTTTTTTAACTGTTCATCCTACTACTAATTTCCATCTCGATCGTCTATTATTATTATTATTATTATTGAAGTAAACATTTAGACTAAATGTTACTATCTTATATAGAAAACTTATAAAAACATTCTAGAAAATATTTTTTATTCAAAAAATACTTAGACGATCGAGATGTAAAAAATTAATAAAATTAATAATTGTCATTTCTTTCTTCTCTCTCCCACCGCCATTTGCTCGTTCCTCCGCGATTCTCTGCACCTGACCTCTTCCTTTTTCTTCCTGCCCTTCCGCCTCGCAGCTCCCCCACCTCCCATTTGCCTCCGGCCTTGCGCAGGCCCTGTGGGTGGCTGTGGGCGCTCACCAATCCCATTCCCATCAACACCGGCTGCTGCTTGTAGAAGAAGAAGAACAAGAGTAAGGTAGCCTCTGTTCGGTCTTGAGGTTTCCCCACTGGTCGGACGGGACGAGGAGCGATGGCGTTCCAAGGGACGACGACCAAGTGCACGGCGTGCACCAAGACGGTGTACTTGGTCGAAAAGCTCACCGCCGACAACCGGGTCTACCACAAGGCCTGCTTCAGGTGCCACCATTGCAAGGGCACATTGAAGGTGAGATCCTATCCGCCCTCCCCCATTTATCTTGTCTTTCTGAGACAAGAATTCGTATTCTCCGTGGACTCTGTCTTTTGCATATGTTTGATGGAGATCTGCATTCTCTCTCTATCGATCTATCTGAAAACATGATCAGTTCATCAACACGCATTCTCATGAGAGTTGTTGGTTCTGTCTGCTTCCATCTTTATTTCGATCACCACGACCACAAAAAAATGACCTAATCTTCGCAAGTTCTAGTTATATCTGATGAACCAGCATTCAGTGGACGCGATTGACCTGCTCCTGAAGTATACTTCTGATTAGGATTGGAGAAATGCAACTGATGCCATTCACATGAGACACAATGTACCATAATGCATCCATGTAATCAATCAAGGCATATAATTCGATGTTGTACATTAATTCATCTTCATATACGTGATAATTAATGCACGGGGATGCACTTTCTACTGCTATGAGAGTTCCTTCTTTTTGGAACTTGGAAGGTCCACATCTTTAGGCAACAATGGAAAGGAAAGATGGTAAATAATATGCTTGTACAAGCTTAGACTCTATTATCTAACCAAGCACATTCTAACTCAATCTGCATTATTATAGAAGGAAATCTTTGAACAACTAACAAAGTCTCATGTTCACGGTAAAAGCCAAACTTTCCTGTGAGCCTTCATAATTGTACTGACATTTTCAATTTGCAGCTGGGAAACTATAATTCCTTTGAGGGAGTCCTGTATTGCAGACCTCATTTTGATCAAATCTACAAATCAACTGGCAGTCTGGACAAAAGCTTTGAAGGTGATCATCATTTCCTCACATTCCTCTTAAAATTTTCTTGTTTTTGTGACACTTGAACCTGGCTTCATTTGTCTTCTTCAGGGACCCCAAAGGTTGTCAAACCGGAAAAGTTTGTCGATAACGAGGTAAAGTAATTAATCCAAATCCGCCCGTTCTAGAGGCAAACAAATTGAGTCTGAATCTTAGATTACCAAGTTGAGAAGTATCTTCTTTCCCCAAGGCCAAAGCCATTGCTTTAATACAAATTCTATGTAAAATTCCTTTGGGTGATTGGATAGTCTGGATGTGGCTAGAGTTTCATTGAGGATGGAATTTATTGAATAGATCCAACCAAATTTCCAATAATATTATTTCTTTGTTCCTCTTAAGCACTGGTTCCACTACCATCATATTCATACTGCTTAGCTTTATGGGATTTGCTTTTGAGGAAGTAATGAACCTGTTACTGTATAATTTTTATTCTTCTATCAAACTGCAACTTTTAATTGACATCTTTTCCATTGTATGCTGCATGTTTATTCTTCTAAGTAATGTGTTCCAATGCTGATATTGAACTCAAATATTCTCTACAGAATGCAAACAAGGTATCAAGTGCTTTTGCTGGCACCAGAGAGAAGTGTGTTGGTTGCAAGAAGACTGTATATCCAATCGAAAGGGTAATTGCACTCATTTTAAGTCTAGCACTTCTAAACATGCATCTTTTCCAGTCTTTCTTTGTTGTTCATGAATAGCAATTTCCATGCATGACACACGATTGATGTCATCTTTGTCATACTTCACGAAAACAACAATTCATCTCAAAGTAGTGCAGATTTTTTTCCTACCTTCCACAGAAAAAAGAATTGCATATTTTCCTGCCATTGCAGCCTTTTAAGAAAACATAAAATGGAAGAGTTAATCTAATCCAGTTAATATTTACTAACATCTCAAGTATATTAACATGTGTATCGATGTTGCATCTCAGTACAAAAAGCACATATATTCCTCTCCTTGTCACCTGCAAGGTCTAGTTCGCACATTTTAGAGCATCTGGCTTCTCGTGTTCACGATAGAACCGATTGAGTGATCCAATTCCTTTTCTCAGGTCACGGTCAATGGCACCGCATATCACAAGAGCTGCTTTAAATGTTCTCATGGAGGATGCACCATCAGCCCTTCAAACTACATTGCACATGAGGGGACGTTATACTGTAAGCATCACCACATCCAGCTAATCAAGCAGAAAGGGAATTACAGCAAACTTGAGGATGAGAAAGAGAAGACTTCGGATGAGGCAGCATCTCCTCCCCAAGAGGAAGAATCTGATGCATGATCGATCTCCACAAATGCTGTCTCTTTTTGCTTTCTTTTTTACTGCTGCATCCCTTCGAGAGCGATATCCTTGGTTTTTGGATGAAATGCTGTTGATCACAAAATTTGTACTACTGTGTCTTGTCTTCCACAATATATGCAGGCTTTGAAAGAAACTATTAGTTGATGTGGTTTCTGCTATCAACTTTCTTATTGTCTTCATATTGGGTTGGAATTCTTGTAATTTCAGTATCTTTATGTTGAACATTTTGGTGGTTGATGAAGGCAATGATACTTGCTGTTTAAGGAAAGACAAGAATGTTTCCCATGAATCTGCCTTTCCTGAGCTGAATGAAACTTCAATTATGACGAAGAATAATTCCTAAAATTTACTTCTTAATGCCAACATATTAAGAGAAGACTTCTTTGCTGAAGACATTTCCAGGAAGACTAATCTGCTGTGTTTGCTATGCAAGTTGAGGCACTGCAGCGATCGTTTCCCAACGTAAGACACGACTTAAGTCTCGATAGGGTGGCCATGGACCAGTCCACGATTCACGTCACCACATAAGTCGGGCCATGAAGGCGAAGATGGACCGGTTTAATTATATTCTAATCCGACTTGATGTCAGATTAAACCGAATCCAAACCCTCTAACCGCGCCCCCAACATGGGTCGAACCGGAAGATCAGGATCGATTCGGACCGCTCGTCTGAACCCGGTTGGCGATAGATATCCGGTTCGGAATCAGGTAGGGTTACACTCGCTTCCACATAAAAGGTGCTCGATTGCGCCCCCTTACTCCGCCGCCCACACGACATTCGTAGTTCTCGGCTCCCTTCGTCTCGTCTGTCGCTTCTCCCAGGCGGATCAAAGGTCATCTTGGATCCCCCTCCTCTATCTTCGTTTTCTTTTTGTAGAACTACGTATTGTCCAATGACATGACCATTTTCCTGAGGTGTTACATCCGTAGTTTTCGATTTCATCGGATTTTGCTCTTTCGATCTCGAGACGCGGAGCACGCTTTTGCCAATTCGGGGTTTCTGTTGTCTGCAACCTGTTGTTATCTATGCGCTCGTGTTTGCTAGCGACTGTATTATCAATAAAGCGAATCGTTTCGTGGTTTTCTTATATGATGAAGATGTATTCCTGTGAAATTAAGTCCTTTTTTTCCCATTCTGTGGGAAATTTGGATCTTTTTTGGTTTGAAGATTAAATTTCCTCTGTTTTAAAGTTAACATTGAACTAGTACTTACGATGGATGAGACTTTTCTTTATCTTATGATATGATCTGATAGTTGTAATGGAATTTCGGGATATATACATGTAGATGTCAGCCATCGTTTGTTGTGAAACTGATAATGTTGGATTTGGCATATACAATCTGAGATTTTGCTATGTACCGCCTGCAGAGGTTGGCGATTCTTGTGAAGGCGATGGCTGTCACTTTCCACAATCTAAATGCAGCGTCTGGCCTCCAGAAACTTAATGATTATCTTCTTACCCGAAGCTATATAACTGGGTAACGTGTTTTGGATGCTTGACATCTGATGATAATTTTCTGTTCTCCTGATCATGATGTCTCATTTTTTCATGGGTTGTTTCAGTTATCAAGCTTCAAAGGATGATATTTCTGTTTATAGTGCATTAGCCACATCTCCATCGGCAGACTATGTGAATGTAGCTAGGTGGTACAACCACATTGATGCTCTCCTTAAGTTGTGGTATGTGCTTAGTCTTGGTTTACTTCAATCTGAACGTATTGGTTGTTCCTGGTGTTTGACCTACGCTGATGTGATATCAGCGGTATCTCTGAGGAAGGCAAGGGTGTGAAGATTGAATCATCTGCACCTGTGGTTGAGGAGGCCCCTTCACCTGCTATTGATGACAAGAAGGTGATTTTTAGAACTTTTTGGTGTATAAAATTCAGATAATTTACTTTTTAAAAGAATAAAGTGAATTCTAGACTATGATATATTGCTTTGGCAAATATTTCCTGTATGCTAATTGGCAAATCCTATGAAAATTCTGTTGTGTATTTAATGTATTATAGCATGATAGTAATATATTACGTGATGATATATTTTTTCTTATTGCAACTCTTAAATTCAGGGCCCAGCAGCTGATGATGATGATGATGATGACATGGATTTGTTTGGTGAAGAGACTGAAGAGGAAAAGAAGGCAGCTGAAGAGCGTGCAGCAGCTGTCAAAGCATCCGGAAAAAAGAAAGAGTGTAAGTTTGACGCATTTCAATGTGTGTATTTCTGTAATTATAGACTAGGTCTCTGTTTCTTGGCATATTTCTTAATCGATAGAGATGTTTGTGTTTTTCTATTTGTATTAAGAACATATGCACATTAAGTTTATTTTCTTCCTAATTTTGGGCTCCTTTCCTATTGGCAGCTGGAAAGTCTTCTGTACTTCTTGATGTAAAACCATGGGATGATGAAACAGACATGCAAAAGCTTGAAGAAGTTGTCAGGAGTGTCAAGATGGAGGGTTTGCTCTGGGGGGCGTGTACGTAGTTTCTTTCTATCAAACAATAATGAGCTGAACTTCGTATATGTTATTCCATGAGTGCTTAACTGAGGCACATTATTTATAAAAAAAAAACTGAGGCACATTATTAATGTGATCATTACTTACTGTAATTGCAGCAAAACTGGCCCCAGTTGGGTATGGCATAAAAAAATTGCAGATCATGATGACTATTGTGGATGACTTGGTCTCTGTGGATAACCTGATTGAGGACTATCTGTTGGTCGAACCAGCAAATGAGTACATCCAGAGCTGTGATATTGTGGCATTCAACAAAATATGTAAGTACATAATTATAATTGTGCACCATGCAACCATCTTTCGATGCTAATTTTTAAGTGTGGATAAATTGCATGTTATGGCCATTGAAATTTTATTCATTAAAAAAGCTTTTACGATATGTTAATAAATTAATGGTTTCTGGCCAAAGATCCTATCTAGTATCTACCATCTTGTTCTAATGAATTGATATTTTATAATAACTGCTTGATGATTTAGTTTTTCACCTATTGAAACTCTATTATTTGCTTTGAAAGCAAAAAATCCTAGTCCATTTATTAAATACTAACTTATGCTAGTATCAAGTTCTTTGGCATCAGCGCTCTCCCCTTGGTTGTGTGATGCATTCTGGTCTGCACTCTTAAATGCATCGAACCTGCAAGATTTATTTGGTCCCATTTATGAGAAACATTGCCTAGGATATGTTGTTGGTCTATAGTTGTTAGTGCATTGTATAATCCCAAATTTCTTGTATTTCAAAGAATTTATGCTGCCATACCTATCATCAGTTTACTCTTGTATACATTCTTTGCTACCAGCCATGAATATTCTTGTTGATCAATTCACTTTGAAAGAAGTTTGTCACTTTTCATGTCGTTGTCAACATTTTTGTCAGTGAAAAGGAACTATATGTTTTACCAGTGCAATTTAATTAAAACCCTTCCATGGTTTGTGTACATTATTTTTGCTTGCATTAAGTTTGAATTACTTTTTTTTCTTTTTGAAATTTTATCCTTTATGTAAATAAACTTTGTTTTACACACACTGTTAATCTCCAATCCATCTGTACAAGTATTATAGGACCCTAAACCATTACCTAATTGCCCATGCAGTGGAAATTCTTTGGCATGTTGTTTAAGCCATCTTTAAGACTAGTTATGTGTATTTTCTTTACAATGTTATTACATTGGCACCTCCAACCTTTAACCTGAGTCCCTGATTTTTGGATAGGCAATCAATTGTTTGTTACTCGTTTGATTCTTGATTCTTGGAAAGGACTGCTTTTCGAGCAAGTTCCAAATTATCTTCATCAACTTTTGTGTGAGCCACTTTAGGTCACACCCTTGTCTGACCGTATGCTTAGACATATTTAACTAGTTGTTTCCTAAGATGTCTTTTTCATTGCTATACAGAGAAATAGTTTTATGCCAATTTCTCAAGCTTATGAAGTGCATCATTATTTATTAAATCTTGGAAGTACAACTATGAAAACTCAAACCCCTGTATACACCTGTTACCCTGTCCAAATAAATTAGTTGGTTGTGTTATCATCAAAGGTATTGATAGCATTAATCAGCTTAGCAGGAAGATTTGCTTTTCTATATAATTATCTGCCTAAATCAGTGAGTACACATCAACTGGCAATAATTATGGCAATGTCTTACACAAGGCAGTTAATTTTTTTATCTTGCACAGTGTTGTTTTAGATGTGGCCACAGACACAGATTTAGGATTAACATGATATAGATGCAGCCACAGTTCAGATTTTCAAAATGAAACAGGGTCATCGATACAACAGTATGAAATATTTAAGACTAGAATATATAGAGTAACAGATCACATTTTATGGTAACTGTTAATTACATGTACAATTAACCTATTTATCAAAAGGTGTACTTTATGGTAATGATAGCCCATGAAGAAGCAATAGATGGAATTATAAAGTCATCATAGGATGCTCTATACGAATATCGGAAACTTAATTTGAAATCATATATTCATGTAGTTCAACATCAAGAGGCCAACACTTAAATAGGAAAAGCCAAGGTTTTCCAAAGAAATGATACTATTGTGGTATTTTTGTTTCATAGGCCGATATGCCATTTCTTTCTTAGGATCCCTCGCTTCAAGTGTGGCATAAATTTCAGTAGATTACTGTTTTTTCTTAGCCTTCATGTAATTTTCTACTATGCTCTTTTGATCTACAATGAAGTTGACCCCTTAGCTCTATGTTTGTCACAGAGGACTCTTTCGGCCTCCAGCATGGGAGACAGCTTGAAGCCCCTATTTTCATGTGTTGGATGATAAATCAATCATTCAGTGGTCTTTTTAGTTGTTGAGCTCTTTTCTTCATTCTTCTGCTAGTCTGCTCTGTGTGTCTGTCTTAGTTAATATTTGGAAGGAGCTTGAAGCCTCTAGTGTCATGTGTTGGATGATACATATATCATTCAGTGGTCTTCTGGTTGTTGAGCTCCGTTTACGTTTCTTTTGCTAGTCAACGAGTCTGCTCCATAATATATCGAAGGACTTCCTCTGGTAGACATTTAATCTATGAAATTTTAGTTTGGTCATTTCTGCTTCATAAACTGTAATCACTGCCGCTATGGATTGCTTGCTCTTTCATCCACATCACAACCATTCCATATAATTCCCCCCTGTTTTATCGTGCTCTCTTCATAATTGTTTGTGGAAGTTGTAATTGCTGTAATTGCTCATCTTTTATGCTGCTATCGTACTGTTTATCGATTGTTCAACCTCTTCTCTACCGAAGAAGGGGGAAACAAAGATCTACGAACGGTCGCCTACCTCACCCCCAACCATCGCCGTAAGCGCATCGGATGCCGTCGCTAGATCACCCGCTTCATACACCAGGCGGTTCATAGAAGGGACCCGCTTGGAACCCATCGCGGTGGCGACAGGCAAACCTACGATGAGCAATATTCAATCCGTACCCGCACGACGGGACCAGAAGTGTCGGGGTGCGATCCCTTTATTTTCGTCTCCTGCGCTTCGTCTGTTAGACCAGAGGATTAGGGAGACGAAAGACGAGGGTCGGAGAACCGTCGACGGAACAATAGTCTTTCATCACGGAGGCGGTGGCCAACGCAAACTCCTCCTCCTCCTACATTCCCAGGAACTACTACATCACCCTCAAGCGGCTGAAGGAGAAGCACGACGCATCCATCATGGAGACGACGGCCAACGCAAACTCCTCCTCCTCCATTCCCAAGAACTACGTCACCCTCAAGCAGCTATCGGAGAAGCACGATGCATCCATCACGGAGAAGGCGGACAAGGCAAACTCCTCCTCCTCCATTCCCAATAATTATGTCACTCTAAAGCAGTTAAAGGAGAAGCACGATGCATCCATCATGGAGACGGCGGCCAAGGTAAACTCCTCCTCCTCCTCCTCCTCCTCCATTCCCAAGAACTTCGTCAGCCTTAAGCATCTGCAAGAGCTGCGCCTCAAGGAGAAGCACGATGATGAAGAGAGGCTTCGCAATCTCAAGCAAGAAGAAAATGAAAAGAAGGCGGCGGAGGAAAGGCGGAAGGCGGATGAGTTGTTGATCCCGAAGCCCCACCGGAGGACCCTCGGATCGAGGCACAAGTGGCCTTCGAACCGCCAAAAATGGGTGGTCGCGAGGCTAGCATCGCCCCGGATTCCCGATGCGGACGGGGCGAAGGGGAGCGCCAGTGGAGCCGTTCACGTCCCCCCGATCGGAAAATCCACTGGGAGTGATACCAATCCTGAAGTAGGTCGGAAGCAGAATCCGAAGAAGAAGAAGAAGAAGAAGAACAAGGGAAAAGCTGATAGGGAGAAGAACGGCGGAACAGAGGCGGCGATGGCGATGGCGACGGCGGAAGAGGAGTCCGAGGAGATAAAGGGATCTGAGAAAATCACCGCCGATCCTTCGCAGGAGAACCCCGTCCAAGTAAAAGAAGATGGCAGGCGAGGTCGCTGGACGGGGGCGGTGAACAGGTCCATCGGGCAGCTTTCTGGATGTGGACAGGAGCGGACGGTGCCGACCGAGCGACGGAGCGTCATCATTGACGATGAGGCCGCCGCAGGGGCGGGTAGGGGGAGGTGGACAGCCGCGAGAGGCGGTGCATCGAATCAGAGGGCCGGGGGATTTGGCCGCGGACGGAACTTGCCGGACGGAGCCGGTCTGGTGTGGGTCAGGAAGACCTCAAGCACTTAACGTGTTCCGGCAGAGGCTCGAAACAGGTATACAAACTTATCCTTTCCGCATTAACATACGATGGTTTATTTCCAAAAGTAACTTCTCTACCCGCTTTGTACTCGAATCGGCTACCTGCTATTTGATTGCAGGTTGTGAGGCCCTGCGCCGGGTCCCACAAGCACATTATTTTCACCGGTCAAAAACTGGTTATTTTTCCTGTGCTTGCTTTATTAGTTTCTTTCTTTCATTGTTGTCATCTTCCTGATTGCATTAGTAGTTGCTACTGACATGAATGATAAGTCATAATGTCTTGACTATTTGGGTCCAGTTAGATGAATGATATCTCTAGTTAAAGACTTAGTGCCTCAAATGTAAATTATATGCATATCTTGTGAGAAACTGATATGAACTCATTAAATTAATTTTTTTACTTAAATGTTATAGTGAAGCATAGAATGTAGTCTCGGTTGATCAAATTGCTAAAAACTCACTCCCTGGCCATAAAAGATCAAAATCTTGTTACCCATTCAAGGTTTATTAGTTTCATTTAGGAGAAGTCAGGTGCTCATTCAATTCAACAATGTTGATGTGGTGTGAGACAACAAGAGACCAACCTCTTGTTTTTCTAATCAAAGTGATGGGTCAATATGTATTTATGGATTCCTAAGGCAAGTATTCTTAGAGTTAGGACAAGTAATCTCATTTTGAAAATAATTCTTTGCCAAGGAGAGTAACCACAGAAACATGATTTAGTCATTCAATAAATACTTGTATATTTATAGGTTTTGATAGGAGAAGGATGTTTATAAATACTATGGGTGCTTCTAGGTTTTATTTTTGGGTATTCTAGAGAGAGTGACAAAAAAAGAAAAATTCTTGGAATTCATGTTTAAGTTAGGGTTAATTTAAGAGAACTTTAATTTGATCTCATATTAAGAAAACTTTATTTCAGTGGATATAGACAAGAAATATTGTACCATATAGATAAAATTAGCACATCAAACAGAAACTTGTTTCTGTCTCTTCTCCTTCCAATCAATCAATAATTTTCTATCTCTAGGTTTTATAGGTTGGTTTTATGCATTGGCTTTGTGTTCATAAGATGGTAGGATAAATAGTATTTTTAAAATTTAAAAAATAATTATATTAAACAAGGCATGTGAATTTTGTTGAGACATCTCAATCATTAGTACATTATTGCACAAGTAATATGTCTCATATTCGAATCTTACGATATCTTGAATTTTATTTAATATAATGAAGTTTTTTCCTAGCCAAAAAAAAAAAAACTAATATGATCAGATAGAGTTGTTGTGTGCACATCCATGGATTTTATCATCAACTTAATGAATTAATTATAAAATATAGAACTATCCTATTATAACAAGTTGTTCCAAAGGATCTTTTGTTCTTCCATCAAATATTCTGTTTTTTTCTCGAATATTTGGATTCAAATATTAGTTATTTACTGATTTCATATAATTAAAAAATATTAATTTTCTCGAAATCTCTTGCTCATATATCTCATCAAAAAGTGCTATTCTAGAGTCTCTTTAGCATAATATCTATCATGTTCTCCTAATGGGTTTAAGAGTATTTTATCTATCTTATCTAGACAAAATTTGATATGTTGTTCTCATGTCTTCCAACTATTTATCATCTACTCGATCTATCTATCTCACATCAATAACACGACCTCTTGAATCCATCCATCTGTGTCTTCCTCTGTTTAAAATGATTTCATAGTTCTAGAGAAGTACTTGTTCATCTACCCAGAACTGATGGGAACTTTGTCGTCACATGAAAAAGGCTGTAGTACGAGTCAAAGGTCTTCTTCAACTAAGTGTTGCGGTTGAGCGACCGCCCCTTGTTGTTGACTTGTACATGTGAATCGTAGGATGAACGTTTCTTCTACGACAGTTCTACTACCATCTGAAGTTTAGAGGAGCATTCCATTACATCGATCGATATACTTCTCTCTCAAAAACTGGACAATATATGTATCTCTAAATCCAAGAAACATTTGTTTGACACAAAACTTTTGAGCAATTTTCCTTAACATTGAAAGAACTATGATGTATTATTATTATTATTATTATTACAACTGTACCAAAGCATGTCATATGGTCAAACGAAATAAGAACAAAGAACATCTTATTGGACAAATGGAAGTCAAACAAAGTGTGAAAAGGTACGACCACAACATACAGATTAGAACTCCTTTGTTGACCACTCCGGTTTGAGTGAGTCATGTCAACAACTGCAATGGCGGCTTCGTAGTAACACCGTTCAACGCTGGTGTTAATGGCATGCTTCCGAGTCTCTCCACCTGAGGTAGACTAAGCCGGCAAGGTAGTGGGTGTAAGCCCCTGCGATGACGAGGACGTGGAACAGCTGGTGGCTGTGCCCGGCCAGGTCGAACTTCCCCGGCATCCACCGCTCCGGTATCCTGGTGGCGTAGACGATCACCCCGATCCCGTAGAACGCGCCCATCGCCGCCTCGTACCCTGCCGTCAGGACCGCCTCCGGCTGGTCGCCGAACAACATCACCTTGTGCACGATCGGCACCAGCCCGGACAGGGCCATGCACGCGAACAGCCCCGCCCGGACCGTCCGGAACTCTGGCGTCTCGAACACCGGCACGAGGGAGACGAGTAGGGCGGCGATCCCGAACACGGTGATGAAGCTGAGGTACAGGTACTGGAAGTAGGGCTGGCAGAGGAAGGAGTAGTAGACGAGCGGGTAGAAGGAGGTGACGATGAGGGCGATGATGCCGGCGTAGTCGAGGCGGAGCATGAGGTAGCATGTGTGCTCGGAGTGGCAGTAGAGGAGGTGGCACGTGCTGCTCATCAGCAGGCAGAGCATGGCACCGCAGAGGTAGGCGTAGAAGGGCCACCGAGTGGCTTGTTCGACTGCGTCGGCGGTGGCTCCGGTGAGGTTGGCTGGCGACAAGGACAAGGCCACTAATTCATGGTGGTGAAGCCTTAGGGAGCCACTGATGTCGGTGATGGTGGAAGAGACGTTAGCCAAATCTGACGCTCCCGACGAGGCCATGCTCGATCCCACCGGAACCATCATCGCAGCTCCGACGGTGAGCGCGAGGAAGATGAAGAACCCGATCAAATGCCTAAAAGAGAAAACATTTAGCTTCGTCAGCGAAGAGACGTAAACACGGACTGGTTTAGGCCAGGGTTGGGATGCAGCGCAGAAAGCTTACGTCCAAACGTTGATGGTCTCGTTGTGGATGGAGAAGATGCTAAGGATGGCCTGCTTCATCGGCCATTCCGATCGGTAGTAGTCGAGGATGAACTCGTTATGCTTCAAGAAGTTAGGCAACGAGTTGTAGTCCACCAGCTTGCACTTGCCCTCACTGCATGAGCTCTTCTCCTTCTTCTCCTCCTTCTCCTGCTGCTGCTGCATCATTAGATCAGCGATGGGGCTTAGCAAGAACTGGCCTTCATTATTCTCAGCGAAGGCTGCCTTGCCCAATGTGACAGTGGAGACTGTTAACTCGGCCACAACCATGTTGGGAGCTTACACACCACCGTTACAAACCGGAAAGGAAGTGGTGGTGGAGATGGCACTGACAAGGGGAAGGGTTGGGGAGTTTATATAGCGGCGGAGTCGGAGTCGGCAACAAGGAGGGGGAAATGGTCACGGTGGTCTTTCATTGGTGGGAAGAAGTCCGCTGTCAACACTTGGAAGTTTGTATTTGTATTCTCGTTTGCCTTCAAAAAAGGCTGTGTAGCTCTCGAGCACTTGTTCGTGCACTCTGTTCATCATTTGCGTTGGAAGTTTCCTTGACTTTGACTAGGATCTAAATCTAAGCGTCCGATTTAGATTTTCTCCTGGGCATTTGTAGCATATTTATCACGAACTAAGTCAATCAAATGAAACATACACTTGTCTATATAGGTAGGCTGCACAGAATGTCTAAGTAAAGAAGGGGGGGAGTCTTGGTCAACGCGCAACCGTCTTCCGTACGTCACACGTCAGGATTGAACTTTTCTGTGTTGGATGGCTGTTATTAATGCGTTTGTGGTCAACTCATTGACATGTTGTCATGCGCCGCATTTGGCCGTCGTTAACACTCCAGCATTGACTAAACCAACATATTGCATGCTTTAGCATGTGCGTACGTTACATGAATTCGTACGCACACCAGATTGACATCAGAAAGTATGAGAGCTCCTTAGATTAATTGAGACCTGCATCGATTAAATAACCTGACATAACAGTGCAAGTTTAAGGAGGAAAAATAGATTAAATCCAACTGATACAGCTTTCCTTTTAGCCATTTCTCCAATGGAGAGTTGTCTTAATACCTACGACTTCTTGGAATTGTTCTGCTTACTTCGCAGACAGCCATCGCAGAAACACATATGACAAGAGCATAACAGAGAGACTACAGAATGACCAAAAATAATACATCACTGTGCTTCAGTTTTAAGATTTGTCACTAAAAAGGATGGACAAAACATGCCATTTCTTCCTCACAGTAGTTCATCATTGGCAATGTTCATAACCATAATGGCTGCATGATCCTTACTGGAGTACATATCTACATTATAGGACTAAAGAGAATTTTTAGATATCGAAACGGCTGACCGAGTCATCGAAACATCCAAGTTGAGCTTACATATTTTACATAACGTGACTACAAACAGCAAAGGCTTACTACAAATCTGTTAGCATTAATGTAGAAAGCTGTAATCCTCACTGGGTCATTTGCACACTCTTGAGTCTCTTTGCAGCCTGTGCAAATCCTATAATAACCTGCAACTCATCCAATTGCTTCAGGTTGCACAACAAGCAATTGGGTGTGGAGAATCCCAAGTCAATCTATTGTTGAGAAATCTACTCTTACGAGAAAACATAAACGAAGTGACATGACGAAATTGCTAAATTACTTGTGACATAAAATGCCTCTGGACTGCATCAATTAGCTGTTCCTTAGAGGGGTTAGGACTGGCATCCACCTGATCCAGACCAAAAAATGAAATCAAAGGATAATACAGGCAATGAGATGTTGCATCAATGGGGGAAATTCAATACTTATTAACTATGAAACAGTAATCGTGGATTTAGAACCTACGAGATTAAAGTGATGCCAATATCTCCATAATGCTCTTGTTTCTAGTTTGCTCAGATCAACTTTCTGCACCGACCACATAAGAACATTTCTTTGTAAGAAGCACAAAGATAACTTTAAAATGCATCGAGACCATATATTTGCAGAAAGAAAGTCACACAAAGGACATCAATCAAGAATGTCAAGACTGCAGAAACACACCCAAGGCATTCTGTAGCATGTCTACCAGCAATGTCATATAGCAAATACAAGAGCAAATGGTGTCAGGTGCTAAGACCCAAAAGCTGAATCACATTTGCTATAGCCTTTCCATGGCATGCATTTTTCATGCAGAAGTTGTTGGTACAAGCTTACCGTTGTACCCCTGGAAGATGAGACAGACCCCTTGGAATGTGAATCACAAGAATAAGACCGACTCAAGGATTTGTTAGATGATCCTTTGTGGTGCCTAACCCTTGACTTGTGTGGCTTTTGTGATTTCATATCATCAGATGCTGCAAAATATGGTTACAGTAAAAAATTGAGTTCGAGAGGATAAAAACATGATAAAACCATGCCAAAAGCCATAACTAAAGCAGCAAAAGATATTTTTGTATAAAAATATCCCACCTCAGCAACAACGATGCTCTTTCTAAAGAATAATTCCAATCTATCACGATGTACTAAAAAACATGGCTTTTCATGGCCTGGATGATAAGTGCAGTTCTGTTTGTAAATAAAAAAGTCAAAATAAACATGCTGACTTGCAACATACCGAGCCCATTAGCTCCAAGATTGGTCTAAAACCTAGTTGAACCTGCCTAATTTTGAGCTGAACCGACTTGAACCAATTTGGAATCACCCAGGTCCACCCTGAACCAATCTGGAATCATGTGGGTCCAGCTTGAACTGGAATGAAATCACCCAAATCTGAGTTGAACTGAACTGAAATCATACAAACCCAGCCAAATCATCCAAATCCAGCTTGAACCGGACTGGATTGATTCGACGACACTCTGCCTGAATCCAGTTCAAGTTCAGTCACATTGGGCCAGTGGGTCAGCACACGCTGGGCCATGCTAGCCCGCTGGGTTGGTGCAGGTCAGGTTGGACCTGACTCAAGTTAGGTCCAGTCTGCCCTAGCCAACCAGTCCGACTTAAGCTGGGTCCAGTCTAGGCCAAACCCAAGCCAAACTGAGCTAGGGTCAGCTCACTCACAATTAAAACCGAGTTATTTCAATTAATTTATAACATGAAGACATAACAATATTAAATAGGGTTTGAAGACATAAATATGAGGGCGGGCCTTGGAACAATAATAAGGTTGTTCCCTTGCGACGTAGGAGATCAAGATTCGAGTTACAGAAATAGCATCTCTATATTTAGAGGTAACACAACATATATTGCCTCTCCCCAAACTGCGCATTGACGAGAACCTCATGCACTGCATATACCCAATTTTCTTGAAGACATGAAAATCTTTAGATTGGATTCACAAAATTTGAGAATAACACTAGCATTAATAATAATCTAATTTAAATACATAAGCTCACCCATGTCTGACCCATTCCAATGCATGTTATCACATTCAGTCTCATCATCTTCCTCATGGCCTATAGGAGCTTCAATCACACTAAGGGCATTCCTTTGCAGTTTTACTTCTATACCATTAGTCAGAACCTGCAATTTCAAAATATAACTAGTGATGCATTAGTTCATATTAAAGGCAAAAAGAAACAGATTGCAATGGATATTAAATAATTTTATCTAGGCTGATCAAAGCTAGGAAGATAGGTCAGAAACATAAACTAACTACAAAGCAAGTGACACAATCAAGGCACCACAATATGCAACTATTGTTGCAGCAGTTACACACACATATAAGAACCAGTATAGAGCCATCACAAGTTTTTCTTGTTCACACATGTAACAACCAGACAACTGAACTAACCCACACACTGAGGACAGTAGTGCAGTCATTTCTTTTGTACGCAGAAGCGCCCACTCCAAAATAAACAGGAGATTTTAGTCGGCTCGAAAGATAAATAGAAAACGTTCTTATGGATGGTAATATTTGCCACATACGTCATCATGCATGTTAGATGGAGTTATCAATCATCATTTTCCATTTTAACTACATAGATAGAAAATCGAAGGCGGATTCATCCTAATCAAACAAATTTGCAAACTATCTGCATCATGCAAATGAAGTGGGTTATAGATTATGCAAATGAAGTAGATCCAGAAAAAATTGAGATCACAAAAATAACAAAAGAGTCAGAAATTGCTAAATGGCTTCATTCAGTTTCGCTATATAGAAAACTCGATGAATGATGTCAGTGGCAATTGCAAAATAAGGAAAGGAGATATAAAATCAAGGCCAGAAAAAACAGCACGCATGGAAAGGAAAACAGTGGTCCATATCATGTAGATTGTAGAACAAGGAAATATTAGCAAGTGCACAGAGTGCAAGGCAACAAAATGGGAAGTTCATAGCAGACTTTATATCAAATGAGACATTGATATTTTTCAATTGAAAATTAAATTCTAATATGGAAAAAAACACAGATCTTTTTTTTTTGCATTCTCTTCTTTTTTCAATTCCCACCAACAACATCGACTTACCATTGCACTAAACTCCAACATCAAGCTAGAATACAATATGAGAAAAGCACATTTTTCACCCTTCAAAGTTATACATCTCTACTAGCATCAACCACACATAATATTCAAGTCCACAGAGCTCCTAGTAAACAGAATCAGAAGACAATTCACTATGAAATGCTGTCCATATTTGATTGTGATTAGGCAGGTCTTGAATAAAGCCAACACATGGCTTTTTCGCTTAAAATTACTTGGAATAAGAAAACTAAAAAAGCGTCTCGAATCAAATGATATCGTTAAAGAGAAATGAAACAGTAAAATGTTACATACAGAAGTCTCGCTTGCAGAAAGTGAAAGATGTGAAGATCACACCAGATTTGAGTTTAAAAGAGAATCCCAATATTCGAATCGCCCCACTTTAAATCATAAAAAATATAATTGACCAAACAAATGCAGCTTTGATTTAAGGAAAAGATGTGAAAGAGACGAAAATGACCATCTTTTATCAAGGCCCACAATGCCAAACGATCTTTTTCTTAGCCCAAGCCAACAACAAGAAAAACCTACTAATTTGAACCCTAAACTCACCAAATCGATCCACATTGTGCAATTGAAGCCTGGGAAAGAAAACCTCAATCGGTTTTGACTTGAAACCCTAAAAATTTCAACACCGAAACACCTGAATATCTCCGAAAAGAACAAAATTTCCAGCAAGAAACCCAGATTTCATCGGGGATCAAGGGATAGAATGCAATTTTACCAGCCAATGCCATCCGCCGAGGCCGACGGCTTTCTTGACGACCCCATGGAGGCCAACGAGCACCGACTTGGTGCGGTTGTTGCCAGTCACCACCACCTTAGTATGCCGCGGGAGCACCGATAGCTCCTCCTCGCTGCTCTCTCCGCAGCTCTGCTGGCATCCGCCGCTCATCCCCAGCATCACTCCTCCACCTCAATTTCTCACACAGAAATATATTAATGATCCGAGAAGTCGAAGGAATCAGATACCCACGCCAAATTGGAAGCAGCGATCGATCATTGCAGTAGAAAGTTGGCGTTTTCGACGAAATTCGAGCGAATATGGGGGGAATTATTTGAGAGAGATTGGAGATCAAGAAAGAGTGTGACAGTGTTCTCTTTTCTCTTCTCGTCTTTTCTGACCCTTTCTTGTGCCTGTCTCTCTCGGGCGATGAATCCCGACGACCAGGGGCGAGCCAACCAAAAACTGACACGTGCACGAGGGTCGTGCGGGCCGCGGCGCGCCTCGGATTCGAAGATAGCGGTTACGGAGTTGGAGCGTTATCTTTTCTCAAATGACGAGTTTGCCCCTCATTGCCTTTTGGTTTTGGGTGACAGATCCGACCCGATACGATAAGAACGGATGGTATTACTCACTGGTTTTCTCTGAAGTATTAACTATCGATTCCATTCTAAATCTATTAGAAACGTACTCTTATCGAATTCAAATCAAACTAATTATTTAATGACTCGCTACCAACTTTTCTACTTCAATTTATCTTAACCATGATTCGATAGTATCCAAACTCTATTTAAACGGGTCGGGTTGACCCGCTAATGTGAGGACGGCCAGAAACCGTGAAGTAGATTATTTGAAGTCAGGCGGGACCCGCACACCTACTCGCCCGGTGATTGGAGGCGAGGGCGGTGCTAAACGGGCCCCACAGACGACGCCACCATTCGCCCAGTCACGAGGAGGTATTCCGTTCGTACGCGACCCCGGCCCCGCCATGGGGCCCGCTCCTACCAATCCGGGAAAGGCGCTGGCTAAAAATCTATGGGCGACGCCACTGCGGTTTTCCCGCCACATCCATACAATCGTGGCCGTCGATCCCGAGTCTCGAAGACGCTGGTCCGTCGGATGACGTGTAGCACCGTTGAGTCCGGGGAGCGGCGCGGCATCTTTAGACTTCGTGTCGGCGATGGATCAGTGATTGCCATCGTTTGAATCCCGTACTCGTTCTTCCTGTTACGTCTGCTTGCTTCTGCAATATTGGATTCCAAAGCCACGAGGCTTCTGTCAAGAAGACACTGCAGAAGGAAGATGAGCCGAAGAAGAACGCTCAAAGAGTGCAGCGGTAGAGGCTTTGAGAAGGACACTGATTGAGCTCAGACTCTCCGCGTCTTCCTCACTCTTTGGATACTGGTTAGAGGATCGGTTCATGAACACGCAAGCTTGTGACTTAAAAGAGTAGTGACAAGAGTCAATTCACTTGTTGTCACTGCTAGATGTGATGCAACATGCAGCAATCTGTCTTTGCATTAAGTCTCGATGGAAGTCTTCTCCATGGGAATCAAAGTGCTCGAGTCCTCTGTCATCGTAGCTGTAAAGAGGCATTTGACTTCTAATTAGACAGATATATGTTAAGTATATAGAGATCTCAGACTGTAATAAATGTGTGTTATCCAACTCTTCTTTCTTTAAACCTTGAAAAGCTGTCTCCCAAACTTGTACTGTACACTGAGAAAGTGTAATCTCCGAGTGCTCTCAATCATCCATCTGCTTTTTGCCTTCTCATTTGTTCTTTTTGCCAATGCTATGGTCACATTAGTACTATATTCCACATACTATTCTGCAAATGATTCAATCCTAAAGTCCTATTCTGATCGACCATAGATAATATAGAGTATGTACACATGAAGAATGATGTTTATAGGCAGTGAAGGTTTGGGTTTATTCCCAAGAAAAAAGAGGAATGAGCCTTCTTATCATCTCTGTGACTTATATAAGGATACAGATGCTAAGGTCTCAATTTATCTGAATTGGCAATATTTCATATGATTCACTTGATGCATGGAAAACTTTTGTGCAATTTGCATATTTGTATGCCTTCTCACTTTGCTGAGTCTTTGAGGGAAATCAAAGAGCAGTGTGAGCCCAAAAGTGTTGATCCTTATCTTTAGAATTCTACAGACTTCTTTGAGGACCCACTGCACACATGATTTATTCTCTTGTAAGCAGCATGAGCTTACATCCTTTGCTGCAACTTTTTTTTTAGATAAAGGTTAATGGTGGTAAAAGTTGCTACTTTTATCCACTGAGCTGACAGCTTGGCTGGCAAGACAAGAAATCAGAGAAAGAATTTGTATAGGTAAATCAAGTCAAAAGCAACTGCTCAGTGATAAATCAGAAATCAACAACCAATCACAACATAGTGTCATGGAATAGCAGACAAATGAGCATTTGTAAGAGGCAGATACAGGAAAACATAACAAACTATATAATTCACATTAGATCAAGAAAGAGAATGTAAACATACTGTTTAACATACTGTGAAATCAACACCCATCTGCTATGATTTTATTTATTCACATAAACTGGGTGAATCTAAGATGAAACCTAATAGCAATGATCCTCCAGATGCCCCCTAATAAAGCAGAAGATGTAACTGATACTGTGACCGCTGAGGTAACTTGTGCAATACAACAGAAGCTGTGTGAAGATAAAATATGCCATATGGCAAGGATTTCTCAATGAAATCTGCAACTTGAATTCCTAACCACCTCCGGATGAAGTTCTAATTAGTGAGACAACTCTTGTTCAAAGAACACTGACAAAAAAAAGGCAGTGTTTCTCTAGATTTTGAACCCAAGCTTCCCAGCGAAGTTGCTAGACCATTGCAATTCTTCATTAGAATGACCTCATAATCTACTTTGTCGACAACTATAGGATGAGTGAGATGACTGACTAAAATGATCCAAAGCAGCAGTATTTCTTGCCAAGCTTTGCAATCTTACCAGTCTTCTTCAATCCATTACCCTGCATACTCCTGACATCAAATGAACTATCAGCAACTTGGTTTGTCTGACTGCCCTCAGATTTTTCTGATTTATCATCTCTCGTGCGCTGCACCTCCTCATTAGATACAGGAAGTCCTTGGTCTAAAATTTCGTTTCGAGGCAGTGAACTGGTAGCCATATTCTCTTCAGTCACGATATTGTTATTGCCATGAATTGAGCCTGCGAATAAAAAGATATAAAATTAGCATCTTTTTCAGATATTGTGAAGTAAAGTGCTTGTGTATAGCCATTTTTCAGATAACATCCACCATATCAAACTAGAAACACACAAACACAGTATTCTCTTTGAAGTTTGTCATGAGGGTGAGAATTTATTTGCAGCAACAAAGATATCAAATATTGATCTCTGCTCAGGACAAAATTCATGCACAATAAAGCAAAAACCAATTTAACTTAACCGATACCAAAGTGAGGCAATCTGCTTTTAAGAATAAATCTTAATCATGGATATGATATAGCATAAGCCTGAATAATCTACAAGATTTGCAGAAGTCCAGCATTTGGTTAGCTTGAGAAAGTCAGAAGTGTTCAACAAGAAGATATGTTGCTACAAACATGGAATCCTAATTATAACACATGCTTAAACTATAAGACGGTACCATCTTAAATTAACATAGTATTATGTGTGCCTAAACTAATCAATAAAAGTTCACAAATTTGCCATACCTGGTGAGGAAGGCCTAACAGCAGTCTGACTTGATTCAATTAAGATGGGGATACTAAATCTACGATCTAAATATTCTTCATCAGATCTCATGTTGTCTTCATCCCCAACAGATAACAAAAATGCATCAGCATCAAAGTAGTCATAAGAATCATTTGACACACAGCTGGAATTGTTTGAACTGGATGAAGATGTCTCTGGACTCATTAAATCATTCAGTTCCAGGTAATCTCCAATTGAAAAATTGCAATTTGATTCTATCTCTTCCACTACATTCTCATGTAATGGTTCACCAACACTTTCAGAGAATGCCGGTTGCCCCTGCTCATTCAAGGAAACAACCCTCTTAATTGTCCAACTGAAATATACACTAAAATTAATCACAAAGCTTGAGCATGATTCTGAAAAGGTCTTAATGTATAGTAGTTTAAAAAGAATGACAAGAGAAAAGACAACAATCAGATAGAGCAAGGATAGAAATCACATTCAATACGTGACAGCCCTGAACAAAATTCAGGGTTCCACATCTGACAAATGATTGGTAGCAATGACAAAAACAAACCATCAGTTAGGAAGATAACAATATACAGAGCACCGACAGAACCATAATCAGTATATGATTATTCTGAATAAGTTCAAGATGCAGCATGTGACTTTGATGACCATAGGTATTTATTAGGAAAATATGAAGACATTGTAGGTCCATAAATACGAACAAGTAATCCGTAGAATTTGGCAAAAGTAGTAAGACTAAATAGGGTCTCCTACCAGGGATCTGTTGAGCACATTTTTGGAAGGTAAATCTGTTTCTTCTGGTTCTCGATAGACTTGCACCAATTGGATGATATATTCACCACCAACATTGGCACTAGCAGAATAGTGTTGTTCTTCGTATTCTGTCCAATCATTTTGCAAGAAAACTCGGCATAATGAATTATAGTCCTGCGGAAAGATTTGTGCATATCAATCATATAATTAAAGGTATACAAAACAAATAAAACATGGGCTAGGTAATGGAAAAAAATGTAGTAAGTACCTTTTGTTGATTAAACCCATTCCCAGTCTTACACTCTACCTGATATTTAATCATCATCCACCTAGTTTTATTTCCCTTGGGTACTTTCCCTTCATAATATTCCATTGTCGTTTTCCTACCAACACAAGTGGTATTCGTGAATATTCTGCACTCATCCTTTATTCTCCAGAATCCAGACTTTGTCTCTGTAATTGTATTTCTCCTGTTCGGATATTGCTGGCCTTTGGAGTTGCACAAGTACCAAGAATCTTCTGCATAACAAATATTCCCTATTCATTTCCTTTTTGCAGTCTAATCGAACTTATCAAGTGCAACATAAATAAAGTGTTAAAGGAGAGAGAGAACAACAGAACAAGCTGAAGCTCTTATTTCCACTCAGGGTTGAAGTTTTGTATTTTTTTCCTTCAAAAAGTAAGCTTGTTCACTCTACGTGTTCAAGAAAACTTAGGAACTACATTGCTAGCTGATAAAACAAAATATTTTCCCTTGATGAATGTCCATGCATTTAGCTTCTTTTTTTTTTTTGGAAGTCTCACAGGGTTATATGGATACTTAATCTCAATGTAACTGACATGGATTAGTCTACCTCCTCCACTTAAATATTAGTGCAAATTGCAATTGCAAGGGATTCACATCATT